CATTTATAAAACTTCTGCACATGTCAGTTACCTTATCGTGTCCTAGTCGCGTTAAGACGCCAATATTTTTATGCGAAGTGTTTATACACCAAAGGTACATGGCGTATACTCCCATTTGTAAATCAATTCGTTTTTTGAAAAAAAACGAATTGTTTCTGATTGAAAGTGTAGTTTTAAACTTAAGACATTTTTTGTTTCCGCACTTCCAAACAAATTTTGTCTTTTGTCTTAACACAAGCTTGCCAACCCATACCTCTAGAGCAATAAACACAACACCTGCTCAATTTAATTAATTCTGTGGATTTGAGAAAGTTAATAGTACAATTTATATCAGTACCAATAATTAGCAAAATCTCTTCTCATATAAGAGTAAAAAATTATATCGCAGTTATTTCCCCTAGGGGGAAATAACCACACCAATCCAAATATTTTGATTTGAGGAAGGGTCGAAGTAAAGGACGAATGTCGTCTCTTGCACCCACGCTTCTACACTTATTTATAATTTTATTACTGTCTATATTTAATAATTTAATTTTACAAGGAGTACTGCAACTATTATAATATATAAATTCTTCAATAATATGGTTAATTAAAAAATCTAATGATTTTTCTGCATTCTAAAAATCTTATGTTTAATTGCCATTTTCATTTTATGGGCTAGATTTTTTTAAAATTTTAAATCCCTTCTTGAATATTTTAAAAGCAAAAGACCTACCAAAAAACACTAAACAAGCCCAAATCAAATCATAATTATATATTAGCCACGTTTTATGTTATATTATTTTATTAAACCCCAGTTAAGTTCATTAACAATATTTTTATTTGATTTGCTTTTTCCCTGCGTGGGTCATAAAATTATTAAAAATTTATAAAATAAACTATTATTTGTTCCTCGACAATGGTTAAGACTAATATCGTGGCGACACCAACAATAGAGTTATCTAGTGATGGCTGTGGCCTAGAAGCTAAAAGACTATTAAGAGAGATGAAAATAATTATGTATGCATTGGACATTGAGATGGTCTAAATGGTTTTGGAAAAAAGAAATTTTTGAAAGAGGAAGCAGAGCATTAAAAGTTTATATGGTACGAAATTTGAAAAAAGAAGAAAAATTACAAGAGCTAATAAAAAAATGTTTCTGAAAGTTGGAAAGGAAGAAGAGAGAGAAAGAATATCAAGAGCTGAAAGAAAAGATTTCAAATACAATCAAAGAAGTAATATCTATTAGTAAAAGAGGAAGAAGGTCTTTGGGTGTAAAATGTTTTTATCCGTGATAAAGTAGTACGTATGGCAAAAAATTGTTATTTCGGAAAAGTGAATGGGGCTTTTTTTAAAGAGTTATAATAAAAATGATTTGATTTTTTGGGTTTTGGAAATGACTGTGAGTCAGAAATAACGGGTTTCTTTAATAAAACTCCATTACTCTGTAATAAAGGGAAAAATACATAACAAAAAACTAGAACGGCTTTATTAAGGAAAGCACCTAAATAAAGAAGAGGACTTGAGATTATTAAATTTTAACGTAAAAATATATATTTTGTTTTTTAAATTATCACGGTTTTGGTGAATTTCATAAAATGTCAATATGCTCCTCCTAAAAATTAATTCCATTTAAATAATTTATAGGAAGGGGCATGTTGACATTTTATGAAAAAAATTTTGAGATATTTTTTGTGGAAAAGGAGGCAATAAGATTTGTAGAAAACATCAGGCGCCTAATGGATATAAAATGTTTAAATGTAACTTGTATGAGTGATGATTATCTAACATTATACAAGGATGGTGAGTATTTAGGAGGAAATAGGTATACTTACAATTCTTGCAAGACCAACATAGCCCCCATCAAATACATGGGTGATGACTTACCCAAGATAAAAATGTCCAGACTTCTTCATTTGACTTACTTATATTTACATAAACTTATAAATTTGCAAATAACTTTCCTAATATCTGTAACCGAGCCAACTTATATATCATTAAAGTCTCGCATCGTAAAAAGTCTTAAACGTCTCGTAGATACATTCAAAAAGTTGGGGGAAGAAGGATGTTCTGTACAAATAGACGAAACGGTATGCTGTAAGCGTCGCCTTATATACAACCCGACAAGTGGAGAAACTTATAGTCGCGATACAAAACGGGTTATCGGCGTTAATTATGAGACTACTAGAAAGGTGGGGCTCGGTGTATTGCCCGATAGAACAATTCCCACCATTGGTTCGTTTATAAAGCGGACAATAAATCTGAGGACTATTACCAAAAGCGATGGTTATCCATCATATCCCGTTTCAGTAGTTGCAAATTCTTGCCATCATATTCGGGAGAAACATAGCCAAGGTTTTGTAGATGATTATGGAAATCACACAAATTCTATTGAAAGTGTTTGGCCGGGTGATAATAGAGAAATTAAATGTAGAAGTTGTATTGTTTTTAAGTTTAGAAGGGGTTGTTGGAGAATATGAATTGCTTTTAGAGGCATCAACTAGTTTAAATAATGTTGGAATGGTCGAACTTTTTGTTAAAATAATAAATTTGATTTAATATATATTTTTCGTTTTAAAGCAGCCTCTTTTGTGAACAAATTATGGAGTTTTATTAAGGAGCCCCGAAATAACGACTAATAGAGGTTATAAAAAGACTGATACGAGAAGGAGAAAATTTAAAGAAAAAGAAAAATACAGTGCGCGTCAAAATCTTAAGACACCTAAAAAAATTTTTTCCCATGCAAAATTAAACAAGATACAATTCTAAAATCTTAATCGTGTTTAAGCATTGTAATTAAAATAATTTAAAGAATACCTTTTATTTAATCTTATTTTATATATGTATAATCTGGTTTTTGGATTTTTTTTGTCTTAAGAGGTGCGTCAAAATCTTAAGACACTCCCCTCAAAAACACGTTTTATAGAATTGTAAATATTACATTCGTTTTATTTTGTTACAATA